GGTGCCCCGGAGGGATGCAGGCAGCGCCCGGGAAGGGAGGCAGGGGAGGGCCGGGAAGGGAGGCAGGCAGTGCCAGGGGAGGGAAGGAGGCTCTGCCCAGGCGGAGATGCAGGCTCTGCCCGGGGAGGGATGCAGGCAGTGCCCGGGGAGGGATGCAGGCAGCGCCCGGGGAGGGATGCAGGGAATGCCCAGACCGAGTCGCAGGAAGCCAGGAGGGACACCGGCTTCTCCCGGGGCACTGGGGAGGTGCCGATGGGAAAAGACCCTCCCATGTCCCCCCTGCAGTGTGCTGGGTGCCACACCGTCACCCCGGCCCTCCCCGGAGTCCAGCAGCATCTCTGCCCTCCTGCCCACCCCGTGGGAGCCCCCCAAGGCCAGATGCCTTCGGGGAGGAGGGTTGGATCCCTCCCAGGGAGACTTTCCCTCCTCTGACACTGCTGCTCGCTGTGCTCTTGGGCACATCCCTTCACCCCCCTTCTGTGCCAGTCCCTGGCCCTGCTGGCAGGGCTGGGGGTTTTTCTATGCCCGCTGTCACTGGGGGGGGTCCTCTCAGTCCAGGGTAGCGCCAGGCCCCACCAAGGGAAGGACATTTCTGTGGCAGTGTCTGCATTTTTGGGGCACCCTGCACCGAGCATTTACCTGTGTGCCAGATAGCGAGGAAGATGCTGGTCACACCTCTGGGGAGCGTGGTCTAGGCCCCTGCAACACGCTGCCGATGGACTCCCCGCACCTCTCTGCTCCTCGAAGCAGACCCCAAACCCCACTCCAGCTCACTGTGACACCAGTGAGCACCGGGGTGTCTCCGTGGGTCCGGCTGCCATCATGCAGGCTTGGCTGAGCCCGAACTCCAGCTTCGGCATGGCTGGGCTCCCCCCAGCCTCATCAGCACCTTTGGATGGGAAAAACATCATCTCCAGGGGCTCCTCTCCAGGGTGAGGCGGGGGTACAAGTGGAAACGCATCGTCATATCATTCCTGGGTGAAAATGGGATGGCAGACACAGCCCCACAGCTCAGGGGGACAAGAGCAGCTGGCAAAGGGAGCCAGAGCCCCTCTTCCCTGTCTAAATTAACACCTAGGCTTTCAGAGACTTGGGGCTTATTTCCCCTGCAGAGCTGCCTGGTGCTCACAGCTAGGGAAATACTCCAGTGTCCCTGGGGTTTATTACCAGCCCTAGATGCTGCTCTTCCTCCACAGCCCCCCAGCTCCCCTTCCCTGCACTGCCACAGAGCAGCCCTGAGCCCTGGAATATTTCTGGGAGAGGGCAGGGATCACAGCAGTACATGAACTCTCCCGCACAATTCAGGTTCCAGCCTTGGGGCTATTTTTAGCAGTTCCCTCCCAGATGCTCTTCACTTGCAGTTTTATTTGTGAAATTTAATAGACGAGGGAGGGGGGAAGGGAGCGGTGCTGGATCCTGGCACGTCCCTGCTGGCTGGGAGGCTTATCCCAGCCTCAGCGACAGGAGACCGACACAAACCTAAAATCATCCGTCAAAGAGCTCCCGTGTCCTGGCATGCAGGCAGCAGCGGGAGGGAGGCAGAGCTGCTGGCTCGGGGGGCTGTGGTCAGCCCCCGCCTCCGCCACAGCCTCCAAAATCCTCGGGTGAGCCCCTGCCTCTCCCCGTGCTGCATGGTGGGCTGGGGGACCTGCTGTTACGCGATGCTGGCCCTTAGGACATGCAGCAGCACGGAGCAGGATGCATGTGAGGCTGGCAGGAGCTGCAGGGATTTTGAGGAGCCCACCCATCAGAGCTGGCTCCATCTCCAGCCGGAGCGGCAAAGGATGAACCTGGGAGGTCCCTGCCCCACGGCATGGGCCTAGCACGGGGAAGGCTGTGGAGACTCTCTACCCCCGTGGCAGCTCCCAGCCCAGGGAGCATCACCTCTGTCCTCTGAACTCCCAGCACCAGAGGGGAATGATGCTAATGAAGCAAACCCAGTTTGCAAGGTACAGCATGGCCCGAGGTTGGTGTGTCCCCATTTACAGGGCATGAGCGTGCCTGCAAATCCAGAGCAGCAGGGAAGACCAATTTCTCCCCGAGGAGCCTCTGGCATAACAGGGATGGGAAAGGGAGAAACCTTTCCCTTTGCCACGGGACATGAAGGGGACAGCAGCCGCCACGGGAGAGGCCTGAGCATTTTGCAGCAGCTTTTGTTCCTGTTGGGCCAAATGCTGCCCCAGGCTCACCTCCAGCACCATGGCACAAGCAGACCCACAGCAGGGAATCACC